CTCAAATGACATTGAATGTGTTGAAATCATCCTTAAGTTTGACAAACCTATATATGAGCAACCAAAAAATCTTAGGAAACGAAAACATCCTAGCAACTTCACTTTACTGAAAGATAATTGAATATCCATGGAAATGACAATTGAATCTACATGGAAATGAGCTGTTGCAAATCATGTAGTTCAGAAACATAGACACGGTCTGAGTGGTTTACTAGGTTTAGATCAGCATGGAAATCTTTTGTTTCTTTTCTATTGTGTATTCCCATGCCTGAATATTGATCTTATTGACGAACCATCTATTTGAAGAGTCGGTCCAGATCTTGGAGCATGAACGTGGGCAATATGACTTGCAACATCAGGTTGAGGGATCGGTCGGGTTGCACTTGACATCCAACCAGGTATGGCACTTTGAGTGGGCGACATCAGTCCTTGGAGTGGCTGTAATAAGAATCATTTCAAATTTGTCACTAAAATCAAAACAAATGCATACAAAGTTTAACCGGTACAACTTACGCCATTAAACCCCGATGAAATACACAGGTCGCTGGAGCCATTGCACTACCCACTGTGAAAAGTTACATATCAATGGAATTGGAAAAAAAAATGAAAAAACCAAACCGAGTAAACTAGGTACCAGTAAAATCGTATGATTACCTCCATAATTGAGAACAACATTTGATGTTGACGGAGCAATGAAATTTGAAGCTGCGAAGGGTTGTGCAACTGCATTAGTTTCCCTGTCACCCAACATGAAATCAAAACGTAATTACAAACTAGTCCTACAGAATGTCAAAAAACATAAATATTTACTTACCAATATGACTTGTGAACATGAAAGTGGTGTTGATATGGAATGTTCTGCATTCAGTGCAGTATCATGTTGGAGATTGCTCTTTCTCGATCTCGATCTCTGCCCTTTGGTTGAAGGTGACGTTGCCTGCATGACATACAAACTTATAATATTTCAAATGTTATGTTCATTTCGATACGTAGATGACATGAGAAGACAAGAATATAATACCTTTGATTTCTTAGGACCCGACTCCAACGGGCTTTTAGTGTGAAGTTTTTGGGGAGCGCCCTTTCTTTTCGAACATTTTGGATCCTTTATACTTCCACTGACTAAGTCAAATGACACTCTAGATTGCGATTCCAAATGTAAACTAGGTAGCGAAATGCTAATGCCTCTAGAAAACAGCTTCGTAGACACGGTATCGGTACATTGCAACCGAATCCAATCTATTACCACACGGGTTTGCTCTTCATCTTTTGCAATAACGTCTGCCAATGTAGCAAATTCTTTGCACATTCTGTCATACCTCAACTGGCCAGGAGTGCTAACCAAGCTATCATAGTTCATTGCGACCCTCGTGTGGGCTCTACAAATATCTCTCCTCCATCTCCTCAATATGTACCTTTCCGGCACTGATGTGATGATATTACGCATCAAAACTGATATGTCTGCATAGAATTCCTCGAAACTCGAACAGATGACAACTACAAGTAATATCGACCTCCTCTGCACGAAACAACACCAAATTTTTTTTCTTCCTTGTCTTTTCTTTGTAAATTACATCCTCCTCGACCTCATATGTCTTTCCCGAACATCCATCCAATGCAGATATGACGTCGCAGTACATCTTTCCAGTTATCTCGTTTTGAAATTCCCGATACTTAGATATTGTATAAACTGTCTGAAATTGCTTTTCCATTTCATATTTGCTTGCACACGGCACCATCTCCGAGTAAGACTTGAAAATCTGCTTGGAACTCTTTTTCAACTTTATTTCGCAATGCTCGTTCATATTGTTCTATGAATTGTTTCAACAATGTCTTGGAATGAACATAACCATTGAAGAATGCATTCATTCTCTCACTGTGTTGAGTAGTTGACATCCCTAACCAGAAGGTTGTTTTCAAATAACACGGCACCCATTGACCCTTATTTTCATACAACCCCGACAACCACTCATTATCATATAAGTTATATGTGTCAACCATCAATGTCCAACCTTCCTCAAATTCTCCAGCAAACTATGAGTCGTAAACTAAGCCATGTATGAATGAAAATATTTGTTTCTTATCCTCGTGATATCCAAAATTTTCAGGCAACTTCTTCAATATATGTCATAAACACCATCTATGTATCGTGTTCGAAAAAACTATCTGAATTGCATTTTGCATAACCCTGTCTTAATCGATAATAATTTCGTTAGGAGCTTGACCATGCATACACTGCATCCATGTCCTAAACAACCACACGAAGGTATTTGTATCCTCATTAGATAGCAACCCACATCCAAGCAGCATTGATTGTCTGTGATGATTTACTCCAACAAATGGGGCAAAGGGAATGTCATACTTGTTAGTGAGGTAAGTGGTGTCAAACAACACTACGTCCCCAAACTCCTTATACGCTTGCCTACACCTTTTGTTCGCCCATAAAAGATTCTTAAGTAGTGACTCGTCGCCTAAATCGATAGAAAAATAAAACCCAAAACAAGATGCTTGCATTCGAGAAAAGTAGGATTGTATTGCCACGACATCTTTTTCACTTAGTTTTAATCGCCTCACTTGTTCAAGGTGATTTCTACAATCCTTTTCTATGAACGTCATATTCCCATAGCCGCCGGCTTCAACAACTATAGAGTTGTAACTCTTATGCAAAGGAATTTCAACCGTGTCATTCAACTCTAGCTTTCGTTTCACATGAGCAGTCAATTTTTGATTGCATCGATACAACCTAAATTTCGACGGACTTGTTTTATGATTGTGCTTGAGTCGATCGTGCAAATTTTCCATATTCCAAAAATATCTGCGGAAGCAGTTAGCCTTGCTTTGTAACCCACCTGAATTGTTGGTTGTGGCCTTAAAGAGGCGCTTGTGTTATAGCTTCTTCGTCCCTCACAACTACAAGTCAACGTAACATATCTTACTATTCCTTCCTCACCCTTCTTAGAATTTCTTCTCCTCACCGAAAAACCAACGTCATACACATATTTCTTTTGGAATTCATACAACTCATTCTCATCGTTGAACTTCATACCGACCTTAGGAATGTTCGCAACATCTCCTCCTAAATTGTCACCTCCCAACGTGATTACATTGTCCAATGAGCTCTCATTATTAGATTCTACCAATACTTCGTCATCCACCACATCCATTATTTCTTTCCTTACGGCAAAATGAGTGGGAATAGATTAGTGTTATAACAAAATAAAAAAAGTACCATAACTATGTTCATAATTATATGATTTTAATATACTAGAATTGAAATAACATGTTACACAATAGTGAATATCGAATTCGTACGCAAGCAACTATACATGTTCAAACTAAAACTTCAGAAAAGTTTGAATTTTACCTTTCTCAGTCATTTTTTCCACCTCCATCACACTGCAGATGCTTTGTAATCAGGGTAAAGACCTTTGGGTGGTGACGAAGATAAAATTACTTTTCTAAATCGCATGTCTAAAAGGATTTGCTGCTGAAATAAAAATAGTACTTTTAATTATTCCTCCAATGTATGGTCAAAAGCATTTTAGATTGACTATACGGGAATAATATACAGACGAGCATGCTTCTACAATAAATATGATGGCATATTGGTAGCCTATTTTTTATTAGAATGAAATGCTAATGGAATCCAAATAATTTCCAAACGCAGCAAGATTGTTATTCATATATGAAAAGCATTTTACCTTCCTCAATTAACCCACTGCGAGACTACAAGTCTTCAGCACGCAGATTGAGAAAAGTACTAGAAACTATCCACTACGACACCGCACTTAGTGGTATTTTTAGGCTTGGTACTGCACTGTGGAGGTGGAACTATAGTCGGGCGACGAACGCGAAGAGGGGTAAAAATAATCTCAACGTCAGTGCCGCCAAAATCGAAGAAAATTTTCCTCCTGTTTCGCTTATGGCGAGGCTGATTTGGGGATAAATGAAAGGGAAAAGTAAAGAGGTCAGTGCACGGGTTGAATGGGAAATGGGTCGGGTTAGTGAAATAAAAAATACCTAATTGACAGTACATATTCAGGCTTTTCTTTATGAGAATCTTTATTCCCAGTCAAAAAAATCAAGCGACTGTCTCAGCAATTTTAAAATGCTGTCAAAATTGTTGTACATAAAGATTTATTCTATTTTTTATTTGGACTTATTGGTTACATTCACTGTGTACCCATTTACAAGAATTTCATTTTTTCTCTTTCTAGTTGGGCTTATTGGTTTCATTAAGTGGGTGCCCATTTGCAAGAATTTCATCTCATCTCTTTCCAATCATCACAAAGCTCTTTGCCTCTCTACTAACCCTAAATCTGAAATTATGGCCGCCGGTTAACTAAACGAGCTCTCCAACCAACCAAAATGCCATTTTCGATCTGCATTTAGCTATTTGCTTCTCTGTACTAACTCTAAATCTGAATCTTTGGCTGCCAATTAACCAAAACGAACTCTCCAACTACAAAAATCTTCGTCCTCGATCTGAAATCCTTCTTTTCTTGGCATGTTTTGCTTGTTATGGTAAGATTTCTGTGAGTTGGCTTTTTGTATCTTCTCTCTCGATCAGATTCTCATTTATTTTATAATTGGATTTTGTTGATGCTATGGATTTCAAGCATTGAGGCTCCAATCTTCGATCTTCACTGTTGAACCAAATGACCTCCCCCAATGGCCTAAGTCGCCATCATCAATCGTCAATCTTTAGTGTTTGGTCGCATTTTGCTTGATATGGTAAGATTTTTGCTGAGCTGCCTCTTTATCTCTTATGCGTCAATCCGTTTTCACTCTTATTGAAGTATCTATAGTCTCCCTTTCGCTGTTGACAAATTCTTTTGAGTTTTCATTGTGGAGAATGCTAGCATTCACCTAGCTATTCTACATAACATGTTCTATTCTTTTGATTGATTATTTACGATTTTATAATCGAAAATCTACTTCATTTGT